CTGCACACCCTCCGTTCTCCCAGCGGCCAAAGGGTCCACCCCCTGACCTTCGACAACGTGTGTGCCCAACTACGGTGTTGCGGGCACTGCGGACGCACCTTCAAGAGCTTCCAGGCCTTTCTCAGCCACGTCTGCGGCTACCAACCGTGCTACAATTGCGGGGCCACGGTGGACGTGTGGGACCACAAATGTTTTTTTTTTTTTTAATTTTTATTGTTTTTACAAACATAATGCTGACTTACTTACATAGTACTTACTTACTTACATAAAGCTTTAATACCCACTTACATATAACTTGCTAAGTTAAATTCTACATACTTACATAATATAAACGTACAAGATAATGCTTACAAAACAGGAGCCAATGAGTTGGAGACTGTTACAAAATAATGAAAAAAGAATTCTAATACAACTAATTACTAACTTACTATCTATTAACGAAGAGTAAATACGTAAAAAACGAGAAAAAAATAGATAAATAAATAAATAAATAACAAACAAACAAACAAAACAAAAAAAGCCAAAAAACAAGGGAAATTAGCCAGAATCAAGAAAATTATTTTTACAGCTTGACTTGCACCTTTGCTTTGCTAGTTTCAATTTGTATTTTATTTTTAAGGACAGACAAAAAAGCGTCGAAAAAATAATCTTCCTCATTTTTAGACGCGGTGTAAATATAGTATTTTGCAATTATCAAGCAGAGGTTTAAACCAAGACACTGAGGCACGGTGTCTGTAATGCCATAAAGTGTTTGTGCTTCAGAAAGCGAGATCTCAATGTTGTTTTTTTCGCGCCACCAAACTGAAAAATGAGTCCAAAACAGCTGAGCATTGGGGCAAGTCACAAATAGATGTGTGATTGTTTGCTTTTCAGCGCATAAATGACAGCGGTCATGTTCCTTAATTCCGAATTTATATAATGTAGCGTTGGTGGGTAAGATGTGGTGTAAGATCTTGAACTGAAACATTGAGAGTTGTATGTCTTTCGTAGCACTGAAAGGCATCTTGTAAATTTGAGAAATTTGCTGTTCGTTTAAACTAGCTTTTCTCAGTCTTTTTTTGGCGGTGGCAGGAACAAATTTTCTTTCAACAAAAAAGTTGGTAGCAAGTTTAGAAGAAAGCTTCTCAACGGGAATTCTATCCATACTTATGGATTTATTCGAAGGCGGTTGTAATTTACCTTTCATTATTTTAATCCAGTTAGGAGGAATTCCTTTGCATAAACCGTAGTAGGTAAGAAAATTAGTTTTAAGACCAAAATAAGAGCAGAAGTCTTGGTGAGATAGAAAGGTATTGCCGTTGAAGAGATCTCCAATTTTTTCAACACCTGCTACATGCCATGCTTTATAGCATACTGAATAATTGTTGATCCTAATAAAGCGGTTGTTCCATAAGATTTCATTCAGTATTTCTTCTTTTGAGGAGGGAGTGAACGAATTTATGGATTGCCAGGCCAACAAGGCTTTCTCGTAAAAGATCAATGGAATGTGGATGTTAAGATGTTTAAGTTCAAAGTTACATTTAAGGAGAAAGAGACCACCAACTCGCTCTAGCAGGGAAACAGGAATGTGAGTCCAACTCGCGGTGGGATGACAGCTGTCAAGTCTTCTGATCCAAGTTGCTTTGAGAGCATTGTTAATTATGTCAAAATCAGGCAATGAGAGACCACCTTTTTCTTTAGGGCCAATCAGGGTAGTTTGTTTTATTTTTGGTTTTTTCTTTTGCCAGACGAATTGAGTAATAGCTTTATTAACTTTTTGAATAAATGTGGGGGTGACAGTGAGGACAGCAGTGTTATAAATAAGTTTGGAGAGGGCTAATGCTTTTAAAATGACAATTCGACCATGTAAAGTTAAGTTCCTAGGGTACCACAAGTTTAGCAAGGAAGCCATCGAGGACAGTTTCTGTTCAAAGTTCCTTTTGAAAGCAGCTTCGTCATCATAAGAGAAGTGAATACCAAGTGCAAATACAGGATCTTTTGGCCATGCAATATCAAGAGGTTCTTCCGGGTTGTTTTTGTTCGCGCCTAGCCACAAGCCCTCTGTCTTGCTTCTGTTTACTTCAAGACCAGAGCATTTTTGAAAAGCGTGGAGCAGTTGGAAGAGGTTTTGGGCAGATGTTATATCAGAGACAAAAACAGTGGTATCATCTGCGTATTGTGAAATTTTGAATTCCTTTCCATATATGTTGATTCCTTGAATATTTGCATTAGACCTTATTGCATTAGCAAGAATTTCAGCGCACAGCACAAATAGGGAGCCGGAAAGAGGGCACCCTTGGCGAACACCTCTTTGTAGTTTAAAGAAGACAGAGGCGTAACCATTATTTACTACACAGCTAGAACAGTCAGTGTAAAAGGTTCGGATCCACTGTAGTAACTGAGGACCGAAATTTAATGCCTCCAAGGTCTTAAAAAGAAAGTTCCAGTCGACGGTGTCAAAAGCTTTTTTAAAGTCCACAAAAATCGCCATGCCGGGAATGTTTTCTAGCTCACTAATCTTCATGATATCGTTAATGAGTCTAATGTTCTGTCCTATATAGCGGCCCTTGACATAGCCAGTTTGGTCGTCGTTTATTAATTTGGGGAGGACTTAAGCGATTCTATGGGCTATAGATTTGGTTGCTATTTTATAGTCGACGTTAAGTAACGTTAGCGGTCTCCAATGTTCCAAATACAACCTGTTCTTGCGTTTTTTCGGTATGACCTTTATTATACCTTGTCTTTGTGTTATGTTGAGTTGTTCTACTTTATGAGCATAGTTAAAGCTTTGGACCATCTCATCACCAAGTAGATGCCAGAAGTGCAAATAGAACTCAACTGAGAGACCGTCGCTGCCCGGACATTTGTTTTTAGCACACTGTTTAAGAACGGTGAAACACTCGGTTTTCGACAAAGGCTCTTCAAGTTCATTTAGCTCGTCTTCGTCGAGTTTGACGAGGTTAGGGTCTCCCAGGAAAGCATCGCGTGCAATAATATCACAGGGAGCGCTCGTATATAAATTTTCATAAAATGCTCTCTGCATTTCCAAAATCTCTTTTTCGCAAGAAGTTTCCGAGCCAGTACTTGTTTTAAGCCTAGTTATATGAGTTTTTGCAAACCTCCTTTTCTCAAGATTTAAGAAGTATTTAGTATTCTTTTCTCCTTTTTCGTGCCAGCGTATCCTACTTCTAATCATTGCACCCTCGGTTTTATATTCAGCAATCTGATTGAGTTGAGCTCTTAATTGGTAGAGTTTAGTGATATTTTCTTTCGATCTGTTGGATTGCAGCAAGGCCATTAGGTGATCAATTTCTTTCTGAAGGTCTCGTTCCTTATTTCTTTTTATTCTGTTTTTCCTTTTTGAGTATTGTACACAGAAACCTCTAATCTCCATCTTGAGCATGTCCCAGTACAGGCCTTCATTAGTAAGGTAACAGTGTTTGCTTTTGTATTCGGGTATTTTGCTTACGAGCTCGTCAATCAAATTTGCGTCTTTCAGCAAAGCGTTATTAATTTTCCAAAACCCAGGTCCACGTTTAGCGTATTCTGTCGATTGAAGAGTGAAAGTGATAGCGCTATGATCAGATATTGTGGGGTTGGTGATGTTAGTATCAATGACAGACATCAACAATTCTTTCGACACAAGCCAATAATCTAAGCGGCATTGCACTTTCAAGGAATTGTTACGCCATATAAATTGTGTTTTGTTGGTATGTTGATTTCTCCAAATGTCATGAAGTTTAAAACGCTGGGTTAAGCCTTCAATCTCGTCAATGACTTTTTGTTTTTTCTGAACAGTAGCACCACCCATTTTATCTGTAGGTGTTAATGGGCAATTCATGTCACCTCCCAAGATGATTTGTGCATCTGCAAATGGTAGGAGAATGTTATCAAGATTGCGAAAGAAAGCTATCTGGGCGGTAGAGTCATTTGGCGCGTAAATGTTGCTAAACAAGAAGGAAGATTCTAGCACGTTGGCTTTTAATAGCAAGTATCGTCCATTCTTATCAGCGAAGATGCTTTCTGTTTCGAAATCCAGACTCGGTTTAAATAATATCATCACACCTTTTGAATGTGTTGTTCCATGACTGTAATAAATTTTCCCTCCCCATTCTGCTTTCCATATTTCTTCGACACTTTTGGAAGAGTAAGTTTCTTGTAAATAAACAACGTCGAATTTTTGATTGTGGAGCCATCTAAACACCCGCCGTCTCTTTCTAGCTTGATTTAAACCTCTTACGTTTAAAGAACAAAAGGAGAGTCTAAACGGAGCAGCTGTGAATTAGCAGCATAGAATATTCTATCGGTTTCGTTGAGGAAGATATTGAAAAACTTTTCGAATGTGAGCAATTTTGAATTGAAAGTGCACTTAATGTAAATTAAATAATAAACATTAGTAATCAGCCTTAACGCAAGCTGAAGGAGTACAAGACTAAGCTGTAGGGAGATAAATCTAAGTATATCAAAATAGATTCTAAACATGTAAATAGAAACGGCTATACAGAAACGCTAAGACACAAAACGCACAGTTACTAGAGCACAAATTGCTCAAAGTAGGGAAACCTCTTCTTACACCTAAACGGGTTCCCTATGAACAGTTTAATGCTAAATAAGTAGGCGCTATGAGCGAAGCAACTCTTGGGAGCGCGAAAGGAATCAATTATTTACAACAACTGACTAATCATGTACCATAACTTTACCGTACAGAGGAAGATCTTTAGTTTCTTTTCCACGATAAACTTGCCCATCAATAATAAGTTTGTCCACATTAAAGAAAGCTTTTTTCTTCTGGGCTTTAGCAGCTTTCAGGATTGGGTAAAGTTTCTTGTGCATATCGGCAATTTCTTTGGGAAGTCATTGGCAACACCGATCTTTGAGCCTTTTGGTAAGCTTCTAGCGTATGAAAAAATTTGCTCCTTGTCTTGATAAAAGCTGGCTTTGGCGATTATTGGGCGCGGACTCTTAGATTTGTTGGTTTGATTAACAGCTCGGGTGTTAGAAATTCGATGAACTCTTTCGAGGCTCATATTGTTTACGTCTTCTTCAGGTATTTGAAGCTGTTGTAACAAGACGTTTCTCAACACTTGCTCGGTTTCTGCTGGAGTTTCATGTGGAGAATCTCTGACACCGTAAACTCTGAAGTTGCTTCTTCTTGACTGAGCTTCAAGACGTATGTTGCGACATACTAATTTGTCGACTTCAGCCTTCAACTGATCATTTTCTTTGCGAAGCGAAGCAGTCGCCTTTTCAGTCGCCGCGGCAGCATTTTTAATTTCTTGAATTTCCTTAGTTGCAGAATTCAAACTTTCCATTAGTTGCTTGTTTTCCTCTGTGAGTTTAGCAATTACTGATTTTAGGTCATCAACAGCTGGTTTGAGAAGAAGTAAGCTTTCTAACTTATTCCTGATATCGTCAAGGGCTTTCAGCGTGGCGTCACCCTCGTGGTCGGGAAGCTCCTCGAGGTCGTCGTCAGTTTGTGAACCTTTTTCTCGTATTCTTTTTGCTCTTCTTCTAGAGGAAACGTCATTCTTCCCAAGCGAGTCAGTTTTGGCTGCCATTCGGTAAAAAATTAAGTGCGCTCCATGATTATAAGCGGAGTTTACATCGAAAACGACGGAGCGATAAAAGAAACGACCATCTTTGACAGCGCCTAATAAGCATCCACAAATGTTACATCCATAACGTGCCCAATCGTCGAGGCCCCAAATGCAAACACCCCACCAGTACTGCCACCCAGCCGGGACCTGGGCCCGAGGAACAGACCGTCGTCAAAATCTTTTTCCACTGTGAGTGCATGCAGGAAGGAGGGGAGACGCATCGCGTGAACCTGGTGTGCGCCGAGACCAGTCTGAATGATCAACGCCATCAGTTTCCGTCCATGCAAGATTTCATGACCTGGGTGTGGCACCTGAGAGTGACGGAGCCCGGACGCCGCCCATTCGTGTTGATCGCGCATAATTTCCAGGGGTACGAAGGCTACCTGCTGCTCGAGGAACTGTACCAACAAGCCGTGGCCCCTTCGCAGATCGTCAACGGGGCCAAACTCCTGAGCGTCTCCATTCCCGGAGGCATCAAGTTCATCGACAGTTTCAACTTTTTTCCCATGGCCCTAGCCTCGTTTCCCTAGACCTTCGGCTTGCGGGAAGAAGCCAAGGGGTTCTTTCCCCACTTTTTTAACATACCCACCTTGCAGCAGTACGTGGGGGCCATGCCGACCCGACATTGTTACGATCCCGACGGCATGAAACCGGCCCGTCGCGCCGACTTCGAACGGTGGTACGCGGAGCAAGTGGCGTCGAATCGCGTCTTCAACTTGCAAACCGCACTGCTCAAATACTGCCAGTCCGACGTCCGGATCCTGAAACAGGCGTGTACCCTCTTCGAGCGCGAATTCAGGGACATTTGCGGGTTCGACCCCTTCGAACAATGCATCACCATCGCCTCGGCGTGCAACCTGGCCTACCGTCGCCATTGGATGCGGCCCAGAACCCTGGCCGTCGAACCCCTGCACGGCTGGCATCCGCAGATCCGGCAATCGAGAGTCGCCTTGCAATGGTTGTACCACCTAGAACGCATCCTGCCCCCACCCACGGACGGTAAACCTCGCCTACGCCATAGCCGCAACGGAGGCGAAGTGCTCTTCCGGATCGGTGAACATCGCTATCACGGCGACGGCTACGATCCGCGCACCGGGTTCGTGTACGAATTCTATGGTTGTTTCTACCACGGATGCCCCGAATGTTTTCCTCATAGACACCAGCGGCACGCCAAACTCGACGGGGCCACGCCCCACGAACTGTACACCCGCACGGTCCAACGGGCCGAACGCATTCGTCAAGGCGGTCACGTGGTGATTGAAAAGTGGGAGTGCGAGTGGGAAGCCCAAAAGAGGGACGTTCCCGAGTTGCGCCTGTGGGCCGAGACTCTGGATCTGGTGACGCCCCTGGATCCCCGCGAGGCCTTCTTCGGCGGACGGACCGAAGCTGTGCGAGCCCACTGTCAGGCCCAGCCGGACCAACACATCTTCTACGACGATTTCACGTCGCTGTACCCGTGGGTCAATAAGAATTGCAAGTACCCCGTGGGCCATCCCGTCATTCACACGCAGTTTACCTGCCAGACGCCCGAAGACTGGGACCGACTGGTGCGCCATCAATCGTACGGGTTGGTCCAATGCCGCGTCCTGCCGCCTCACTACCTGTTTCATCCCGTGCTCCCCGTCCGCGTGGCCGGCAAGTTGCTGTTTCCCCTGTGCGTCCAATGCGCCCGAGACCAAGTACCCCTGCCCCGGACGGAACGCACCCACATCTGCGACCACACCCCTCGCGAACGAACCTTCGTGGGTACCTAATGCACGCCCGAATTGGTCCTGGCCCTAGACCAAGGGTACGTGATCCTGCGCATCTACGAACTGTGGAACTTTCAACAGACCTCCACCACCCTGTTCAGGGATTACGTCAACACCTGGATCAAGGTGAAACAGGAAGCCGACGGCTGGCCCTCGCCCGACGTGGAAAAAGATCCCGCCTTGCAAATCGAGTACCTGGAAGAGTTTCGGCGCGTCGAATGGGTGATCCTCGACCCGGCCAAGATCGAACGCAACGAGGGTCGACGCACGTTGGGCAAATTGATGGCCAACAGCTTCTGGGGCAAATTCGGTCAACACACCAACAAGACCCAAGTGACCCAAGTGACCACCTGCAAGGACCCCGAGAGCTTCTTCGACATCTTTCTCCACGGCGAACGCGACATCCATCGCATCCTGCCGGCCGGCGAACAGATGATCGACGTGTACCACTCGTTCAAAGAAGACGTCGGCGAACTGGGCACCAACACCAATATCTTCGTGACCGCCTTCACCAGGGCCCACGCGCGCGTCAAGCTGTATCAGGACGGGCTGCTCCCTCTGCACACCCGCGTCCTGTACAATGACACCGATTCCGTGGTGTACCAGGCCACCCAAGGCGAGACCCACCTGCCGCGAGGACGTTTCCTGGGTCAATTCAAGGACGAACTAAAAGGCGACGTCATCGACGAATTCGTGGCCGGGGGACCCAAAAATTACGCCTACCGCACCCGTTCGGGACAAGAATGCTGCAAGGTGCGCGGGTTCACCCTCGACGCCCGGGGACAAGCCGTCCTCAACTTCGAGAGCGTCCGAAACCTGGTGCAACTAGACGTCGACGAGCCTCTGGATCGTCCCAGAACGCTGTCCGTCGACAACCCCCATCACATCGTACAGAACGTCACCGACAAGACGCTCCATTCCGTGCCGCAACGCAAGACCTATTCCATGGTCCAAGACAAACGGGTGCTGGATGCCAGTACCGGCATGACGTACCCCTACGGCTATCGGCCCAGTCAGGACATCGTGGACGACATGGTCCTGTCGGTCCTGTTCTCGGACATAGACTCCGCTCTAAAAGACGTGGAGGACATGCTTTTCATTCCAGAACCGTGCCAATTTTGAAAACCGTGTAGGGACGCCCCACACCACTAAGGTCGGGCACACGTTCCCCCTTGTAAACGTAGGGTTCGAGACTTGTGTAATAAAACGGAGTTGAAACATGTGAAAAAACGTGTTTATTTTTTTATTATTTTTGAATTCCCTAGGGAATCATCACGTGACCACCGGGGGAGACTTTCCGGGGGTACCTCGACCCGGTCCCAGCCTAGCCCGGGGGTCAGGGCCCAGGGAAAGCGCCGTTGACCCCCCAAAAACCAAAGTTTATGGTGTGCGCATGCGCCCTCGCGAATTTTTTTTTGGCTTACCACAAGGACGAGACTTCAGGGTCGTCTTCAAATATAAGAGCCCTTAGGGTTAGCGAAAGGGTAACAGGGCTATAGGGTTAGGGTTACCCCACCCCCAAAGGTTCACACCCCATGAGGTCCCTTTTACAACACGTCATCACCCCTATGACGTCATCATTAGCCCATGACGTCACCCCACCCCATGACGTCACACCTCCGACATGAGTGACAGAAAAATTTGATTGACAGGTCACATGACCTCTTACTGCACGCTGATTGGTCCATTTGTATCACGTGACCTAAATCCGGCTCTCTGATTGGTCTGTACCGTACTGACCCCCCCTTACTACTCGTTTCTGCAAAAATCTCGCGAAGCTGTAAATAGTCCGCAATGAGAATACAGGGAAACAAGCCAAAGGGCAACAATATGTCGAAAAAGAAAACTAAACAGAAAAAAAAATGTTTAAAGAAAACGCAATAAATAAATAACCACGCCGAGTTTCGAACCTACACTATGATTGCCTCTGGTGCGTGAAGTCAGCTTCCAGACCACTGGGCCTTGCTACCACTGGACAATTCTTACCGTACGATTAATATACTAACAGCAATTTTCTCTGCCATACACGCTATTTCAAGCTTGTGGAGTTGTATTAAGCGAGTATTTCAAAGCCATTTCCCTTTATTTCTGTTTATTCACGCTCGGGCTTAAAGGCCGCTCGATATATTTATACGAGCTCATCTTCTTCGATGCTCGCACTGAATTTCAAGTCCCCGTTCTCGCTGCAGTGGTGTTTCGATGGTAAATCTTTCCCAGCGAGGATTCCCAGCCACTTGTTGAATGAAACGTTGTCTTGTGCTTGCCGTTCTCTTTCAGTTGTCTGGAAAATTGATCGCGATTCACCGAGAGTAAACATTGTTTAACAGACGATGAATAAAGACATAAGCCTTTCATGAATAAAACGTGATAGCGCATACATATTTTGAAGTCGTGTTGAAAATGCACCATGACGTCACACTGGATGCAGAAACCCAAGAGATATCTAGAAATATTGCCAACTCGAGTTTCTGCGTCGCTGAGCGTCGCTGTACGATCCACACGATACACGGCGCGACAAATTTATAGGCCGCTCGCTTGGCGAAGAATAATCATATAACCACAAACATCCTGTAATTCAAAATCAGATTGAAGTCGTATAAACTTGTAGACTAACTCAAGGGAAAAAACCCTCATCGACTGGTATACTTCTTTAATGATGAAAGTAATAATAATGTCCGTTTTACCCCAAATGTATTTTTTTAGTTTTAATTAATTGAAACCTCAGGGGGTTCTTTTTCAAAGCTAAACGGTTTTTAGAGCGTTTACTTTTAAACGTTTTTATTCTTTCGATGCATGATTCACTGCCACTGAGCATTGGTATTAAAATCAGCAGTTAACGAGTCCTTAAGCTAGGAGATTCACTTACAAATTAGTAGTTGTTGTTGGTATACACTTCCAAATGTATGTAGCATTGCCTCCACTGCAGTCATGATCGTTGGTTACTTGACCGGAACCATTCATAAAACCATTGCTCTGACATAAATGGCTGCAATCTGCGAGATCAATGCATCTAGTCTCAGGTAAGAGATGACAAGCGAAAAGTGGATGAGGCAACTGCAAGGGTAGATTTCTAAACCAAATGTGTTGATTAACCTACGCTGTAAAAATGAAAACTACCATATTGAAAACGCCTTCACTACATTGAATAAATACAACATCGGTGCGTTCAAAAGCAACAAAGTTGACTCGTTCGATCGGGAGAAACGCTCA